TCTCTCTCTCTCTCTCTCTCTCTCTCTCTCTCTCTCTCTCTCCAGTATCCATCTCAGTATGTTCGTGTGTGTGTCCGTGTGACCGTGTCTATGGCCGTTGTCGTAGTTCAATCTACCCGACCGTTGTTGTGCACCGCTGTGAACACCAAACACTCGAGAGACATGAAGAGCATGGCGGACAACAGACGATCAGAGAGCAGTTGCGGCATCGCGACGAATGCGATGGGTAGTGTACAATAAACTGCCTTCTCTACGCAGTTGAGCCTCCGCATCATCCCCTTCGTCGCCATCATCGTCACCCGCTGCTCCATCGTCGTCGTTGTCTTCGTCGCCATCTTCCCCCCCTCTCCGTCGCAGCAAGTCTTCGTCGACCGGGATGCCTGCGTCGATGATGATGTTGTGCAGAATGCAACACGCGAAAAACTGGTAACACACGTTGCGCATATTAACTATGTGTTTCCGACCAAAGCAACACCACATTCCTTTTAACCGACCAAAGCACCTTTCGATCACACTACGAAGGGCGGAGAACTTGTTGTCAAACGCCCTTTCCTCTGCAGTCCGCTTACATCCTCCAAACGGAATCATCAGCCACGGGAGGATCGGATAACCAGTGTCCCCCATCAGATGTCGTCCCATTACAGTGTCATCCATGAGGACGTTTGTCCTCCGAACGAAAGGCTCCCTACCCTCCTCCCCGCGGTTGTACAGATCGGAAAGGCGCAGTATACGAGAATCGTGCACCGCCCCCGGAGCCCCGAAGGTGACGTCCAAAATGCACAGGTTCTCATCGCACACTACTTGTGCGACGATGGAATACTGCCTATTTCTGTCGAAATATGATTCAGCCTCGCCACCACGGGGCTTGTCGATAAGGATATGTGTACAGTCAATCACACCGAAACAGCCAGGGAATCCTTCCCTCTTATAATAATCTAAAGTCTTTTGCAATCGATCCCCGGTCGACCAAGACAACACATGGCCATACTCGTCACAGAGAGCTCTTGCAACGTCGTCCGTGCATCTGATGACACTGTGCAGTCCCAATCTGAAGTCGTTGCCACACTGTCGGTAATAGCCCCCCCGTCGCCCATCGGTATAGCGCGAAGGCAAACTTCAAAGACGCCGGCAAAGCCTGTCGATAATGGGTGTCTATCCTTTGTATCCTTGGCGCGATCCGCTCCAAAATCTCATCGAACAGAGGCCTCGTAAGCCGAGTGTACTCATGGAATTTTTTCTCGTGTCCCAGTCCCTCCGTATTCAGCTCCTCCCATGTCCCTCCCACTCGCTCTCGGACCTAAAGTCGTCTCCGTCCTCTGCCTCCCAACGGATTTAAAGCTCCTCCCCCGCCATGTCCTTCATGCAAGTCGTATGCTAGGAGCAACAAGATTGTGGTCGCATTGTGCATGGCGACAATGTTCGTTACAGCAAGCATGAGCATCATCGCCCTGATCACGCACACTTGCTCCCTCATTCGCACCCATCGACTGACGGCGGCAAGCACCATGCCGAGATGGCCAGGTCGCATGTCTTCCGATGATGGGCACACACAGAGAGAGAGAGAGAGAGAGAGAGAGAGAGAGAGAGAGAGAGAGAGAGAGAGAGAGAGAGAGAGAGAGAGAGAGAGAGACCTACGCCAACGAAATGGAGTGACGAGAAGAACGCTTGCGCCAAAAAGCAAAGCACTGCAGGTGGCGACGTGGCATTACCAAACACTCCCAACCGTGAAGCGCCAAGTTGCCGATAACCGAAGGACTGAGCAAACAGCAGAGGCGCGATGAACACAGGCGATGGCCGAAAATCGCCAACGGTCGCAGAAATTCTGCTCCACCGTGCGCGAAGTTCCTGCGTTGCTATCCTGTGAATCTGCTTGGGCCCAGCCCGGTACCGTACCCTTCTGCGTGAGCGTCGTTCCGACCTAAAAATATGCCACACAACATCTGCCACACGAAACCGGCAGGCCGCAAAACACCTGACCAATGTCCGGGTGGACAACTTCGGGAAGTAGGTCTATTGTCACGCCCATACATTTCCGGCGCAAATCCTGAAAAAGAACCGAATATCGTGGACTGGTGGGATCCCATTTCTCTTTTACGGTCATCCCGGAACGGGCCCTACAAAACCGTTCTTTTTCGTGTCTTTCCAAAAAGAATAGAGGCTGGATCAGCCTCTTAGAAAAGGAGAAAAGAGTGAAAGTGGCTCTACAGCGCTGGAGGAGGCGGAGAAGGCGGCGGTGCGTTAGCGCAGGAGGAGGCCAGTGGTAGGACCGCGAGAAGAAACCGGTCCGTGCTACAAGGCATGGACCGGCTAAGCCGTCGTGTCGACGGAGACGGGGAAGAGCTTTGTTCTCGTCAATTTCAAGATATTTCGGATGAACGAAGGGTGGGCTCTGGACTAGATCCAGAGGGGAACGAAGGAGGTGTCTCTGACACCACGAGGGGGAGAGGACGCATAGGCGCCCCTTGGATACCTACCACCGATGCCGAGACTGCCAACGCTGCTCGCTGCCCGAGGCGAGGAGAAGTGCCCCGGGCCACGTCCGAATGAATTGGCGAAGAGGCGAAATTTCGACATGGCCTAGGGAAAGCGGCGCCCTCAGCACGGAGATCCATGCAAGGAAGAAGTGCCGTAAGTTGTCTCTAAGTGCTTACGAGACTTACATATTCTGCATGGCTAGGCTTGTCTCAGGAGAGAATTGCTTTTCGAAGTATGTCCTAGAAAAAAACTTTCCTCATAGGTTAATTAGATAATCGGTGAGTAATTTTATTTTAGCCCTTTGGTGGCTCTGTTGTGTAGGAGTGAGGATGGCGGCCTCTTGCTCCGCCCAGAGGGCAAGTTTGACACCTGACGAAAGGCAAAGGGTGTGGGAAATTACTGTCTCTTATACACATCTAGATGTGTATAAGAGACAGCTCTTGCTCCGCCCAGAGGGCAAGTTTGACACCTGACGAAAGGCAAAGGGTGTGGGAAATTTTGGACGACTGCTATTCACAAGGAATCCTCCCGGATGATTCGAAATTAATTTATGTTTTTTGCAGTGGTATGAGGTGTTTAAAAAAAATGCAGATGCAAAATTTGAAAATAAATAACGTGATAACCCGTCCAAACACGGACTGAAACACACAGCTGATTTCTGAGTTTTGCTCAAAGACTGAACGCCCTATTGGGCTATTGAGTTCCCCGCCTGCTGAGTCGGTGTGTGTGTGTGCTTGCTGGACAGCATGTATGTCTGAGTGCTGGTTGGCTTGCGTGCGTGTCTATGCTTGTCTGATGAGTGTGTGTGTGTGTGGCCCGCCAGGGCACTTGTTCGTTCATTGGGCCCTTAGGGCCGGTACTTACCTGTGACCGTGGCTTTGGAGAGTTGCAACAGGGGAAAAAGCACTCAAGTAGCGGGTAGCCCAGTACCGCACCCGGTAGGGGGGTAAATATGCAGGTACCGGAGGCCGAGCAGAAAAAGATGAAAGTGGCATTTTTAGAGGCCCGTAGTGTAGGCTAGGTCTAGCGGGTACCAGTCTGAGTCTAGGGCCTGTAGGGGCAATATCAAAGTCTGCAATGATGTTCCCTCCAAAAGGAGGAGGAGGTACCGGTTGCTTGGGAAGGCCAGCGGCCAGGAAGTCACCGCCCAAGAGGCAAAGCAGGCCGCTATATCTTCTGGTCGGGCGGAAGACCCGACCTCTTTTTCGGTGTGCAAGTTTGGCGACACACTGGTGGAGCGTTGGAGGGAGCAGCACTGCGTTGGAGCTGCGCTGCTGGGGAGGAAGAAGAAGGACTAGAGGGAGGAAGGAGGAAGGAAGGAGGAAGGGGGAGGAGCACCAGGGGTACTTACCTGGCTATGGTGGCAGCCATCTTCATCACCTTGGTGGGCGCTGCTGCAAGGAGTCCCCAGCCGGGGGAGCTACACCAAGAAGCTTCAAGGCAGGGTTGGGCATGGCGGCCTGAGCTGGAGCAGCCATAGCTGCTCTGCGTTGTCCTTTGGACATCGGAGCAAGGCCTAGTAGTCCGCAATAGCCTCGGCCTATGTGTGTGAAGAGTGGGAGAGGCGGCCATGGCTATGAAGGACCTTGAGTGATACCTCCAGTAGAAATTCCTTCAACATTGTATTATTATTTCTTGTATGAATAAGAGAAGGTGGAGATAAGGAGGATGAGATTGTTGGGCAAAGAAGAAGAGCCTTGTCATTGTCTTTGCTGGTGTACATCTTCTTCTTCTTCTTCTTTCTTACTTCTTCTTCTTCTTCTACTCCTCTCTCTCCTCTCAAGTTCATTCATTCCTTTCTGCAATTGGATGGCATTGTACTTTCCAGTGGATGTGTATCTCGAAATTGGCCAGGGTCATAACATTGGTATCAGAGCGGATTCTACTTGCTGGTGAGAGTT